TAAAAATAATGTGTTAATTTTATTAAATTTTAAATATAAAACTTCTATAAAAATATCAATTCAATACTTTTGAGATTTGCAATGAAATAAATAAAAAATTAATTTATAAAAAATTGTAATAATTTTTATAAATTATAATATTTAATGTAGTTAAAGTTTTTAAAATCTAAAAAGACTTCTCATCAACTATACCAAATATGCATTAAAATAATTGATTAACCATCCACAAATGATACAAGCAACGTACACGTTGGACTGAAGATTTATCAAACATAGGTATGAGACATGTGCTGATCAGCTTTGACCATGTATGTTTCCTATAGATTCCTAATGTAAAACGAAACTCCCTGCCAAAGTAGAAATTGCCCAGGTCGGACCGAAATCTGAGGACGTACATCCGCTGACTTAAATAGCTGCGAAAGTCCGAGGATGCTTATTTAAAAAAAGACACTACGATAATAATAATTTATAAATTTCAGATAGAAACTCTCTCGTGAACTAGAGAAATATGAAGACAGGATTTTAGTGGGAATAATTGCTTTGAGTGGAGAATAGTTATGGTCACTATTGATTTTGTTATAATTGTTAAAATAATCAGATTTTTATTTTATTTTATTGTTAAAAATAATTAATATTTATATTTAATAAATTAAAATTAATTTATAAACCGATATTTTTAAATATTAAAACAAATTGTTTTAAAAAATAACTATAAACTAATAAAATTAAAAACTTTTTCAGTCCAACGTGTACACTGCTTGTCTCATTGGTGGAAGGTTAATCAATCGTTTTAGTATTCTAGAAAAATTTTATGAAAGTGATGACAACCTAACCATGTATTTTGTCTCTTTATGAAATTTCTATACATATGATGTGCATCTCCGATGGAAACTATGCATTTTCTCTTTTTTGAAATTTCTATGATGTGTATGTATTTTTTATGCAAGTTGGTTTGCAAGAAAGTCTTCTGTGCTCTTCTTAATATTTTTAGATAATATAAATATTTAGGTCTTTAATTTGATTAACTTGTAGATAATTATATTAGGCAAAACTCCATTTTTAAAGATGACAACATAACTCATTAAAATTATTTACACTAAAATAGTAATAAAAAAGACTTGGACTTGAGTTCTAAGTCTGCTGTGTTGTTGGTCGCCATGAATTAATCAAGTAATCATGCTTTAAACATGAAAAAATTTCTACCAAGAACTTTTATGCAAGTTGCATTTAGCATTAGTAAATTTGAATTAATTTAAGTTGACCAAGACCATAGAAATTGATCCAGTCTTCTGTGTGCAGTTTATATTCGCCATTAATTGAAAGGGATTTTGAAAAGTTAAGATGTCTTAGCAATTACTACAAGGACCATGATTAGCATACACTCCACCGTACCACATTGTCGTTACACTTTTTTTTTTCCATTAACTTCTGTTAACTCCCACACTCCAGTAGTCTTTATCCTCACTAGATCCATCTTCATCCTCACCAGATCCATCTTCCTCCTCACCTCCATTCTCATCCTCATCCTAATCATCTGTAGGATAATTGCCAACCATCCCAAACCAAACATCCATCCAATGGGAGGGATCCCACCCACAAGATTAGCTTCGATCATCTCCCTCGCTACCTCTCCAAAATCCGCTCTGTTCAAAAGGTTACCTACGGCAAAAATCAATTCCCAATTCCAGCACCAGACCCCTTGTTCGAGCCGCACTCCTTTGTCGAGGAAAAACTCCAACAAGAATTAGAAGCCGATCTGGGTTCTATTACAGAACCCAGATGCAGATGCAGAACCCAAGTAGAACCTAGATTGGAGCAAGAAAGAGAAGGAGGAAGAGGGGGAGGAGAGGGAAACAAAATAAAAAAACTAGGGCTAGGTGAAGAGGAAAGTTGTGTTGGGTGAAAAAGAGTAACGAGAGAAACGGAGATAAACAGAGACGGGTGAATGTGTGACGGAGGGTGTGATGACCGAGTGTGCATATATCATTTTCCTTACTACAAATAACTTTTATGCAAGTTGCATTTGGCATTTTTAAATTTGAAATGTTTTACTTCAAAAATTCAAAAATTGAAGATTTAAAATTCAAGTTCTAATAACAATAAATGGTGAAAGTTACCAAATGAACATAATTGTTGAATTATGGCTTAAAAGCACATTTCTTACCAGTTGTAGTGGCTGCTTTTGCAGACAACTCTAGTATATGAAACAAAGAAGAGCTACCATATTAACTAAAAGACTGCAAATGTAAAAGCATGGATTTGTTACAAAATAAGTTAGTAATTACCTCCCTAGCAGCAGAAATAAGAGTGCTTCCAATTTCTGAACCAACTGTGATACACTATCAAAAATCGAAATTCATTCTAAACTAATTGAAGAGAGAGCTAATTATTACTATCTGTAGTCCATTTTACTTCTCACTAAACGTATTTTTAGGTGATATTTTTTATAGTATATGAATGAAAAAATAAAATTACTTCATAAAAATCACAAATTAGGAAAAATATTTTAAGTTGCAATTCACATACAATAAAAAGGTATCACTTAAAAAATGTGTGGTGATAATAAAGTAGTATGTTGTTTTAAGTAGTTTTTTTTTTTTTTTTTAATTCTAATTTATATACTTACTTGGGATGAACCTATCATCCCAACCAAACGGAGTAAGCAAATTAAAGCAAACGGAGAGTAGATTTCTCCATTGCCATTGGAACATTCAAAACAAAATACTCTTGCTTGTGATGCAAAGATCAGAGAGGCCTTGGACATTTATAGGGAATTTTCTAATAAAAAATTTCTAGGTAATTAGTTAGAGGATGAAGATTGGGAATTTCAGTGCAAAGACCTATACATTTTTGGCAGCCAGGGTCGTTTTTTTATACTTGTTTTCTGACCAGATTTGGAATCTGGAGAGTTTGTTGGCTATTCTCATCAGTCAGTGCTCCCTTGAAGAATAGCTCCTCTAAAGGTATCATTCCATAGTTTAGTTCGTCACTGAGAATTCAAAGTCCCAATTAAGATGCCAAAGAAGGGAATACAATGTATGTAAAACAAACTGTTTTGTAATTTGTCTTGTGCGAACTGCAGAATATCAACCATATATATAATCAATGGGATCATTGTGGGGCTAGTGATAGACTCCACTGTTTAAAAGGCTGATGTGTTTGGAGTCTGTGTAGGACGTATAACAAAACCTAACCTCATATATGTAAACATTTTTGGCAATATAGATGCCTTACAAGGCTAAGGATCCGGCTGCCATCCCAGCTAAGTGGTTAACTGGTTCTTGTTCCTTTTAACTACTCCTTCTATCTCTAGTTGTTTTTTTTTTTTCATTGAAAATTTATCATAACTTAATCGCCATTTTTCCTTTTTTTAATTAAAGGGAGAAATAGTTTTTTCTCATCTTAATTTTATTGTTTTCACTTAATTTAGTTGTTCACCTTATCACTAAAACTTTCTCTTTAACATAACTAAAAATATAATTTGTTCATAAATTCTTAATAAAAAAGATTAAAACGAAAAAAAGAGAATATTATTATGTGATGAGAGAGTATTGTTTTCTTAGTCATGGAGAGTTTCTCAAATCGTAATGAAGAAAATGGCCATATATATGAAATTATAACATTGAGATGAGGTTTATGAATAATGTTAAAAGATGTCAAACCGAAAAGTGATTAATCAGTGCAACAGAAAAAAACTAAACTTAGTTAACCAAGTTTCAGTTTGTCATCTACCTGGGCTTTAGGCAAGAAATTTTGGAAGCAAGTTTAGAAGTTCTTGAGGAGGATAAATATTTATTTGCCATTATCCAAAGAAGTTACACAACTTTGGAGGTCTCATTTTGTTTTTTGTAGCATCACATTTGGAACGTAATCCTTCTTCTCCTCCATTTCTCTTTATTAAGAAATCATTCGCATGCCTTCTTCAGCTGTCCATTTTTATAAATCCATTGATCATGACATTATAAGTAAAATAGTGTTAGGATGTTGAGCTCTCAGAATCATCAGGTCTAATTAATAACCGTATTTGCTTCTTCCATCTTTCCTTTTCTTTTCTTCGCAAAGTGCCTTTTTTGCATGCCTTCATGATCTACTCTAAATAATCCCCAATGACAACAGAGACAAAGTAGGGGGGGTAGAAGCATTCACATTTGGATAAATTCCTCTATCTTTCATTTCTAAGAAAAATTGTTTTGTCATTTCAACAAATAATTAGCCCATTTGCATAATTTTCTGTTTTTTTTTTATCATCCAAATCCCAGATGTTTAACATTCGATTTTGGAAAACATTACTTGAGTCTTTAACAATGCTTATGGAAAATGATATTTTGACAATGAAAATGAGAACTAGATTCGGCTTCAATTATAGTCATTTAAGGTACTTGTCTTGGCTGATAGGCAATTGGTGCAGTTTCCAATTCCATGTCTTAAACATTGCCACTTCTGTAAAAATTTTAAAAGGTCAGGATGGTTTCAATTTTGCAGAGAACCTGCCGTAGTTTATCATCAATTGGTAATGTGGCCAGCGTCCTAAGTTTTTTCTCGGCATATTAGCAGTCTGTGAAACAGATGCAGGAAATTGGAGCTCCTGATGCTAGGGGGTGTTAATTCGTTATTCTAGGCCAGTTTTTGGTTTCTTGCGTTATTGTTTATTTTCAAGTTCTATAAAACATTAAATAGAGCTTGAATCTCCATTATTAGTTATGTAGTTAAAAGGTACTAAAATTACTTATACTCTTAATCATAGATTAAGGGTTCAATTAAGGGTTCAATTTTTAGTTATTGAAAACAGAAGACCAAAGCTTGAATCAACCAAACATAAACGGCACATGCCAAACACAAAAAAAAATCTAAAAAATCATACACAAAATGATAGATCGACATAAAAGAGCTGTATATAACAAAAGATTATCTATCCCTTTTTTATTAATTAACTTCCTTGTTATTCAATACAATATTTGAATTTGAAACATCTAGAAGTTTCAATTCAAACTATTATTGAGTCATTGGATTTGAAGGGGTTCTCTTATTATTAAAGAAAAAAAGAAAAAAGAAAAAAAAGCTCAGAGTGATCAGTTTTGTAGAGCATTTTATTTATGGTAATGGCGACAGGGGCAGGAAGGCCTTGCAGTTGCAAATTCCAATCAATCGTAGCAGCAAGCGAGCCAACATGGGCATTTTGGTTCTTCCCTACCCACATTAAGCCTTTGTTTGGATTGAGAGAGTTTAGGGGAAAGGAGAGGAGAGTGAAGGAGAGGGTTTTCCTCTCTTTTGTTTGGATAATGATATTAAAGGAGGAAGACAGAAGAGGAGATAGATGAAGGAGGGATGGACTCCTTTCAAATTTTTTATTTTTAATCCCTCTAATTTGAGA